GTCTCAAATGTGTCATGGGCTGACCACTCGCGCCGAATCTAATGATGCTGCACATCTCGGCTGTCCCACAGACAGATCAAACAACAGTATTTACTGAAATCACGTCGCAACCCCATTATCAAACCTGCTATCTGCAAATCGCGCCATATCTTCCGTCGGAATTTTTCGTGTTGGGCCGGGCTCACGATCTTTTGCGTGGGTTCATACGTTTCTTTCAGTTCAGGGGCAAGAACTAATGGCACGCCTCCTGGCAGGTCGTTCCATTGTGGAGCAGAATTGCCGTCAGTCCTGATTTGCTGGCATCAATGAAGAGCATTCACTGTGTATGTATGTATGTGTGTGTGTGTGTGTGTGTGTGTGGTGGTGTGTGTGTGTGTGTGTTCTGTGTTGTGTGTATGTGTTCTACACAAAAAGGAGAGAGAGAGAGAAAGAGAGAGAGAAGAGAGAGAGAGAGCGAGAGAGAGAGAGAGAGAGAGAGAGAGAGAGAGAAGAGAGAGAGAGGAGAGAGAGAGAGGAGAGAGAAGAGAGAGAGAGAGAGAGAGAGAGAGAGAGAGAGAGAGAGAGGGACGAGAGAGAGAGAGAGAGAGAGAGAGAGACGAGATAGAGAGAAGATGGAGAGAGAGAGAGAGAGAGGAGACCAGAGAGAGAGAGAGAAAGAGAGAGAGAGAGAGGAGGGAGAGACGAGAGAGAGAGAGGAGAGATGAGAGAGAGAGATGAGAGATGAGAGAGAGAGAGAGAGAGAGAGAGATGATATTATATATATATATATATATATATATATATATATATATATATATATATATATATGAATAGAGAGATATATAGATAGACAGATAGATAGACGATGCGCTACCGAATGTGACGTCACGCCCTGCGGAACGCCACAGGTGACGCTTGGCGACAATTAAAATAGTCACCAAAAAAGTAAGCTTTTTACCAATTTGAAACAAGAAACCTAAATCATAATAGCATGTATTCGATACGCGGCGCGATGGTTTGTCAGAATGCCATTCCGACTCAACTTATCTGATCAGGTCGATTGCCCGTCTTCTTGCTCATTGGTGTGTGCAGCTGGGTCCGCTGAGTCCGATGGGGTGGTTGCCCAACTGATAGCAACGTTAGACAGCTTCTTGACCACGCTGGGCGCCGAATGGCCAGGAGCTGTGGAGACCCGGGGTACGGACTTACCGGCGCCAAGTCCGTGTTCGCTCAGTCCAGAGATGGTTGGATACGGACCTCGCTATTGATACAGCTATCGGTAGTTGTTGATCATTATCTGTATTTATCTAGGCTTGTCAGACGTTTGGTCCATCTTCCTGGATGGGTATGTGTGTAGTGCAAAGACGGTGGTCTATCTAGGTTCCGAGAACATCCTACGCATTGTCGTAGTCATTGTTCTTGGGTCCGGCTTACTGCCAAAGCAGGCAATCTCAGCTACTTAGCCACATCTTCTGTGATTATTTACGAACACTGGGGGCGTCGTGAATAAAAGGACCCGGAGGCTATGCCCCTGAATCCTTGAACCTGCTCCACCCCTCCTGGTAGCATCGGTGCGATCCTCTCTCCCCCTTCGCTCTTCTGGTGGCGGTGGCAATTCTATTATTTCAACAGTACCCCCAGTACCAGTTGCAATCCACTCATATTTTTTATTACATCCTGACGTCAGGCCCTGGTGACGTTCCTTCCTATCAGCCTTCCTGGAGTCAGGTCCTAGTGACGTCCCTTCCTATCACCTCTCCTGGCGTCAGGTCCTGGTGGCGTCCCCTCCATATAACCTCTCCTGGCGCTATGTCCTGGTGGCGTCCCTTCCTATCACCTCTCCTGGCGTCAGGTCCTGGTGGCGTCCCCTCCCTATAACCTCTCCTGACGTCATGTCCTGGTGGCGTCCCTTCCCATCACCTCTCATGGCGTCAGGTCCTGGTGGCGTCCCCTCCATATAACCTCTCCTGGCGCTATGTCCTGGTGGCGTCCCTTCCTATCACCTCTCCTGGCGTCAGGTCCTGGTGCGTCCCCTCCCTATAACCTCTCCTGACGTCATGTCCTGGTGGCGTCCCTTCCCATCACCTCTCATGGCGTCAGGTCCTGGTGGCGTCCCCTCCCTATAACCTCTCCTGGCGTTATGTCCTGGTGGCGTCCCCTCCCTATCACCTCTCCTGACGTCATGTCCTGGTGGCGTCCCTTCCTACCACCTCTCCTGGCGTCAGGTCCTGGTGGCGTCCCCTCCCCATAACCTCTCCTGACGTCAGGTCCTGGTGGCGTCCCTTCCTATCACCTCTCCTGGCGTCAGGTCCTGGTGGCGTCCCCTCCCTATAACCTCTCCTGACGTCAGGTCCTGGTGGCGTCCCCTCCATATAACCTCTCTTGGCGTCATTTCCTGGTGACGTCCCTTCCCATCACCTCTCCTGACGTCAGGTGCTGGTGGCGTCCCCTTCCTATCACCTCTCCTCACATCAGGTCCTGGTGGCGTCCCTTCCTGTCCCTTCCTGTGATCTCTCCTGACGACAGGTGCTGGTAGCTTCCCTTTCCCACCAACTCTCCGGACATCAGATCCTGGTGGCGTCCGTTCCTATCGCCTCTCCTGACAGTCAGGTCCTGATGACGTCCCTTCCTATCACCTCTCCTGACGTCAGGCGCTGGTGGCGTCCTCTTCCTATCACCTCTCCTGGCATCAGGTCCTGGTGGCGTCGCTTCCTATCACCTCTCCTGACATCAGGTCCTGATGACGTCCCTTCCTATCACCTCTCCTGACGTCATGTCCTGGTAACGTCCCTTCCTATCAAGCTCTCCTGACGTCAGGTCCTGGTGATGT